GGAAGGCAGAGAGGAAAAAAGAGGTTGGGGTGTTTATAATGCTGGGGTTGTAGGAGGCTAGCTGCAGACAGAGCTGGGCCATTTACAAGCTACTATGTGTTGCAGTAGGAATAATTAGCATGGCAGCCATGACTGTGTCACAAAATAATAGAATGTGGGGAAAGGGACAGCAGAATGAGGAAGGAGAGGGTAGCCTTTTCCTCCATTTTTGGCAAAAGAAGCTGCCACAATTTAGCTTCCCTCAGGGCGTGTGAAGCCTCCAGGCTGCAGCAGAACTGTGAACAGGCTGCTGTCACACAGGTGGAGGCAGGCTGCAGGGACGACAGCAAACTGTCTATTGGCCTTAACTATGTTCATATTTCACTGATGTACTTGTATCTGAAAAGACAAAGAGTCCACAGCCATGCTAGGGGCTCTGTGAAGCTGTACTTAGCTTAAAGCACAGTATGCTTAAATTGACAATGATATTGCTGTTTAACAAGTAAAATGTTTATCGTGTTCATCATGTCAGTTTAACACGTTAGCATGCTAACATTTGGTAACTAAGTTATTGGGCAATTTTACACTTTGACCTGATTATGGTGCTAGAGTCTTTTAATTCATCCACAGGGGATCACAAATACAAACCTCACCGCAATCCATTTAATTGTTACCAAGACATTAAATTTACCACTGTCAGTAGGCTCCGTCCTCTGGTATCCATTAGCATCCAAAATCTATCTAGTAGGCCTACGTATTGAAATAGTAGCCTAAGTAATAGTAATAGTAAAGTGACAACACTGATGCACAAAGTACACCCCACAGGCCAAATGCGGCCCTCAGAAACATTTCCTGAGGGCCCCCAAACATTACACGAAATCCATATATTATGTTTCACTTATTTGCGGCCCATTTCAATACTTTCATTCTCAATAGTTTCCTTTCTATACACCTCTGAGAGACTACATCAAACTGCACCCCACTAATAAGCATCTGTGCAGTTAGGGATGACAACTTGTAGAAAGCTACTGGTCGTATGACAACTGGTGACAACTCAAGTGTCACTGGAATTACGTTCTGTCATCAATGCTATTGCTGTTAGCTGGAGTTACTGCACTTCTGCTGGCTCCCTAAATTGGCACTCAAAATCAGTAGGATTCAACGCTGGGGATCATGATCGTCTGTAAACAATTCCATGACAACTCATCCAGTAGTTATTGAGATATGTCAGTCTGTGGTGAATGGACAGATCAACAAAATGACCAACATTTCTGTCCATAGAGTCATGCATGGCTAAAAACTCTGCTGATAAGATAAATCTTACATTAAGGACAATGAAAACATTCTCTCAAAATGAAGAGTATTTCCTGGATAGATTGTTAGAATGGTCGGTCAATAGATCGGTTGATCGGTCAGTAGGTAGAGATCTGACTAACCCATCTTGGGCCCTAATGACCCCTTACGGTGATACTTTGGCTTATCTAGAGCTGAAACATTTAGTACATCAATCCATTATCTGATCTGAAAATTAGTCAGCAACTATTTTGATTGTTCACGTATAATTCATTTTTATCTAGCAAAAAGGTCAAATATCAACTTTGCCGAGCTTCTAAGGCGTAAAAATTAATTGCTCTACTATATATCTCTGGGTTTTGAACTGTTGGTTAGACAAATCAAGGAATATGACGTCACCCTGGGTATTCAGTAATTGTGGTGGTCATTTTTCATTATTCTCTCACATTTTATGGACCAAATAATTCATGGAGGAAATAACTGGAAGGTTAATGCACATTTATTTTTAATGGATCATTAGAGACCAAACAATGAATTGATTAACTGAAAAAATAATAGACAGATTCACTGAAAATTAAAATAACAGGCTAATTTACTAGGAACAGCATCTGATGAAATGAGCAGGGTCTTACAGCTGCTCTTGCATTATTACCTCACTTGTCTTCCTATGGCAACATTTACATGGGGCATATGCCTGGAAAACAGTGTTTAAATTAGTGCAGCAACTAATGATTATTCTGACATTAGCCTTACTTGCTTGAATAATTCCTTAATCGTTTGGTTGATGAAATGTCAGAAAAGTCAAACCTGTCCACCACAATTAAATGATATGACTGGACATTATTGTTACTGGATTATCAGAGGCCGTTTGCTGTTCTATTGTCTTCTTCTATTGTTTGTTCCTTGCAGTGTTTGATGCTCCTATTGCTGTCAGTGATGCTGGTGAAGCTGTTCAATGTGTCAGCTTGCAGCCTGTCAAGGTGTGACCTCCTGCCTCCCACTCAGCCTCAGCTCAGACCCGGCCCAGATAACTGAGCATAAGCTCTGGGATGGAGAAGGGCATTCAATTTACAATGATAAGAAGCAACCAGCTGTAAACATTCTTAGCAATTTACAGTTGACTCAAAGAAAGCCTAATGATAAGATTGATATCAGTCTCACATCTGTACATTATGTATGAAGCTGAAGTTGGAGACAATATGTGGCTATAGCTTGGCTCAGCATAGAGCCTGGAGGCAGGAGGAAACAGCTGGCTTTGTTGTATCATACAAACTGAAGCATAACACCTTTTTCCACCAAAGGATATGTATGTTTTTTTAACGCAGGGAAACCTAATAAAATAGGTGATAGACTCCTTTTTCAAAATCAACATCAACATCACAAAAGCACCAGAAAACATGTAAGTAAACAGTAGAAAGAAGCAAGGAGGCCAGAGAAATTTTTACTTATTCAGTCTCTCTTTCAAACTTGTCGATTAATTTTGAGTGACGTTTGAGTGCTGCTTGGATGGAAACAGACGGAATTTGTGGCAGCACATCATGGCTTTGTGCCAGAAAATAATCCACGTTGGTGTCATGTTTGTATTGCTGACAAAAGCCAAATGTTAGTGAGTGTTGGTGGGTTTTTAACCTAAATTTAAATTTTGGTTACACGACATCACAACCTAAAGTCAACCACGTGTAAGTGTCTAATGATTAGGGGTGGGAATCCCCAGAGGCTCCATGATCTGCTTTTCTCACAATACTTTAGTCAGGATACACTATTATTGCCATTTGTGTTGCCATATGCTGCATATTGTGGTAAAATATATTGCCATTTAATGCATTTAAAGGATTTAAAGGAAAACTTTGTCAACATCTGTATCATCTAACAAGTGTAAGTCTGTTCATCTCACTTCAGTCATTTTTTGTGCAGCAAAATGTACGCAGCAAAATTTTTCAGTGGGCTGAAAAAGCAACTTATTATATTGTTCAAGAAAGCTATCTGAAGTTTAATTTGTATTTGTAATATTAAGAATTTATATAATAAGAATATCGATACTTGGCACTGTGTGAAGATCCGATACTGCCACACAAAAAAATCGCCTTGCTATGCTGTATTGATTTTGCCCCCACCCCGACTGATGATGCTGGTGGCCAGCTAGGAACCAAAACCTCTACAGCTTGGAAAGAATCAGATGGAGGCTGGAGAGCTAAGACTCAAACCCATGCTCAGCAATCATTCCTGTGCTATAGCAGGAGATTTTGCAATAGTTTTGTAATAAAGTAGTTCCAGCATGTAACGTCTCCTAAAACCACAAATTGACATTTTTGCATTTCTGTTTGTGCTCACATGAAACAAATATAATTAAACCCTTTCCCCCGTTTCCGGTCTTCACGTTATGCTAGGCTAACCACATCCTGACTCCAGCTCTGCATGTCAGAGTATTTTCCACAATGTTGAACTATTCCTTTCATTTCTCATTCACTATTTCTCCGTCAGGCGACTAATTAATCGATGAACTAATCAAAGCACAAATGGAACGCTCCACTGCAGCCTCCCAGCACGACGAGGACTGCCATATTTATTGCGGAGGCCATCAAAGCGTACAGCACCTTCACTCACAGCCCTTCCTCTTCGTCACATGCTTCAATCAAAATCACAGCTATCCCAGAAACAAAAAGAATTAAACATGTTCGGCTCACGGGAAGAGGGAGAGGGGGGGGTGAACGCAAGCTGTCTCACCCTGGCCTGGCCTCCCTTCCAGGCTGTGCAGGAAGCAGGATAAACAGCACACTGCCTCCTATGTCTTTAAGAAAGCCTCGGTGCCCATGCTGTTACCAGGGCAACTAGTGAACAAACTGCTTCCGAGGCAATTTCCAGTCTAATAATAACTAATCTCACTGAATGAAAATTCCCCACAAAGACACTGCCCTTTCCCCAAAGAAACTGGGGCAGGTTTTAGTCACAGGGACACTGCTGTGGTTTTAACAGACATTTCTGTTCTCTCTCTCTCTTTCTCTCTCTCACACACACACACACACACACACACTTGCTGGCTCGCTGTGTCCAGCTGCAGCCACAATGTTAGGGAATTGTGTAGCCTACTAGTCTTATTAACACGTGTCTTTTTTTCACATAACTGGATTGTCATGCAGCACCTTTTCCATGGGGCCTGGTAACCATGGAGACACCGCTGACAGTCTAATATGTTAAAATATGCTAATATGAACAAGAATTGTTGATGGAATAAGAGAAGTGAAGGTGTGGGGGTGCATGCAGGTATGATCATCAGCTATAACATGAGCGTAAATCCCACTCACCATGTCATGTATGACTACCAGGACATCTGACAGTGATCACCACCATCTTAATGCACAGGTTAGCTCAGTGCTGCCCTTCCTGTGTGCATTTCCTCTTGGAACACATAAAGAGACTATCTCCTTCTAGGTGCAACATGAATAAAGATGCCCCCCACCCCTCCACCTCCCAAAAAAGAGAAAAATCCTCTCCCTTGGCAAGACTATAATAACCTTTTGCAGCATGGCATTGGCATGTCGAGACAGAGAAAGGGAAGGAGGGGGGAGAGAGGGAGAGAGAGAGAGGGAGGATCTGTTGATATGTAATGACAATGACGCCCTTTGGAAAAAAAAAACAGCTGATGCATTCACATAAAAAAAAAACCCACAAAAAAACCACAGCGTCTCCGATACCTTTAACGTCAAGTCAAGGGAGGTTGTCGGACTTACCATTTCGGGATTTAGCCGTGCTAAAATGGCGAAGGTGGACAGTCTGTCACACACGCATTTGGTTCTGAATGAGTCGACTAGCACGGCTTTGCAGCCCCTGGCAGACCAGGATCCCAGCAGAGAGGAGCTACACGGGAGAAAAACACACACACACACACACACACACACAGACACATACACACACACACACACACACACGCATACACACACACACACGCACAGAAGCGATGCGGTGAATATAGAGACAGCCCCGGCTAAAAAAGAAAAAAGAAAGCGGTTCAAATCCGACCGCGTTGCACCGGCTATTTAATCCAATTTACATCTCCGCCGGATGCAGGCGAGAAGGCGCAGGGAGCGAAGTGAACGCGGTGATGAGGAGGCTGTGAGGCGGCGTGCTGCAGGTCTCTGCCCGGACACATTACACCAACACACTGCCAACAGCCCCACAAATCTATCTTTATTATTATTATCATTATCATTATTATTATTTTTATTATTATTATTATTATTATTATTATTATCATTATTATTATTATTATTATTATCATTATTTAATATTCGTATAAAGTAGAAGAAATAAAATACTGATTATGTTGGCCGTGTAGTGCTAAAGATAACTACTACAATAAGTGTATGAATAACTTTTACCTTTATGGTGAACACCGTGTCAATTTTAATTATTGTCCAAATGTATTAACCCTTCATATGATACTATTCTGAACAGCCTCAGAGCTCTACAACACTATATGGCAGAAAAAAAAAGAAATATTAAAGACAGGATGCATGACTCTTCCTCAAAAACACACTCATGGGGTCAGTGGATAACACTTAAAATAAAGCTAACCAGCGTAAAAAAAACGACAAAAGTTTGTTTTATTAATGTTTTTTAGTCAGTTGTCAACTTACATAACAAAGTTGGTCACATTCAAAACCATTTTTGACAATTTTTAGTAGGATGTAATTAAAAGAAGTAAGTTCAACTTCCATCAAATCAAATCAAATAAAATAGTGTGACCACTAAATATCAACACAGCCTTTTGGGTAAATATTAAGTTGATTCAACTTAATTAAGATTTTTGAGGTCAAACCAAATCTTGCTATAAAAGACTCATTGGATTTACTGTAAATGAGAAGAGTTGTAATCACTTAAAAATATGCATGTAAATTGTTACTTTAATTTTTTATTTTTAATTTGATTTTGGATTCTTGTTTAGAATATAGAATAGCCTACCCCAAACCACATTTTACGTGGTTCTACTATCCAAGTGTGACACCTTTACTGACAAATAAGTGGGACACTTTAAACACATTGGTATTTAAGTGTAGGCTTAATGAATACAGAATATATAATATAACATAATATATAACAACAGTGATAGACCTCTTTTTTGTTTACTTTTTTAAAGGAGGGATGTAAGTACAGAAAGGGGTGTAGCACAAAATTTTAGGCCCTATGCATAAGCAGTGCCAATGGGCTCCCCACTCTTCCCCTTTTGGTGCATGTCTCTCTGACACATCTTTTGAAATTTTTTATACAAAGTTTGCTTTCTGTCTTTCTTTTCTTTTTTTGGAACCCTGATTTCCTTTTCTTGGGTAAAAACATCACAGTGTACGTTAGTGCCCCAGCATTCTGAGCAGTCACTCTCTCAGCTCTAGCTGCATTTCAAGACAAATCTTGATGTGCAGAGGCAGACTAAACCATTTTGTGCCTTCAAGGGGTGAGAGGTACCTCAGAGAGATTCTGCTATTTTTTTTACACAACATCCAGTCAATAAGCCCATTTTAATTTAGTAAAGGCACTAATTACTTGAAATAAAAAAATTGTGAACAAAACCAACCTTTTTATTTCAGACTTTTCGAGGGCCCCATCCCATTGAGGTCTGGGTAATACAATTTTTCCAACTATGTCACCCCTGGGTACAGCAAACTAACCCCCTTCCCACCCTCTTCCTCCTCAAAATGTCTCATGGAACAAACAGTTCAATCCAATCCAATCATCCATCTTCTTGGGATCATGTTCATAATCATCTGGCTTTGCAAATGTTGCAAATGCCCCAGCCATCCAAGCTTTACCCTCTTGTTGCAGGCTTTGTTTGTTTTTGAAGCAATGTATGAAAAATGTTCATCATTGGTTAGGTGTTAAGTATATCTTTGTCAAAATAGCTATCTAGCCAGTTAAATTGTGAGTGAGACATGAGAAGGGAACTGTTTCCCCACGAGAATGACTTGAATGGCCATTTTTTAAATTCTGATTCACCATGACACCCCAAAACAAAATATATAAAAAAAATAAAAATTATTTTATTTGAGTCAGAACTCACTTTATTTTTTTACCTAAATTCACTGCAAGGATGTTGAATATGGTTTATCACCTTCCGGAAGTGATGTCATAGACACAGAACCTATGTTTTTATCTGTGTTGTTTTTATACCACCCATAACTTTTAATAATATCCTTTGTGAGCCTATTTTAAAACACGAAGTGCTACACCAACAGCTTATGATGAGTGGGTGCTACCAACATGTTCACCAGCTCCACTGATTAGCACTGTTATTTCTTTTTCTGTTAAATGTCAGGTACACAAAGACAAAGCCTGAAAACCTACACATACTCCCCATTAGAGCTGCATTTCCATGGTAACAAAACAGATCACACCTGCTAACAACTGACAGTAGTTTGCATCATGGTAAAAAAAAACCTCACAAGTGTAATTAATAACATTAATAATGGCTACATTCCATGTAGGGTTACCAGCTCCAGGCTATTGTGCATGCTGGCTTACTGACACGACTTATTGAGACACTTAAATGGAATGGAACCATAATTACGGCTGTGCTTTTCCTGCTATGGCAAGTCAAAATGTCTGATGTGAAAAAGGTCTACTTAAGATGAATCTTAATTTCTGGTTTGTTCACAATGTTGTGAAACTTTTGAGAGAAAATACATTTTAGAAACCTCCCCAAGCCACTGGAGACAGTTCTGCTACTGCTACGCTGAGTATTTACATGAAATCAGTTCTGATGAGGTATTGTGGAAGCTCATTACCACCAACACCAAAAAAATTATATGATAAAAACTTAGGAATGGGTAGGAGCAAGTGTAAAATTTTCACTGGCTTTTGACAGAAAAATGACTCCATCAATGACTTGGTCAAAACAATGTATTACTTTAACTTTGTACCATGGGGCGGCAGTAGCTCAGTCTGTGGGGCATTTGAAAAAGACTTTATGCGTGTAATGGGCAAAGACTTTACATTTCCTATCAACACTGAAGTGAACTTTGACAAGACACATTGCATGCAGAGTAAATTGACACGTTGTCCGTGAATGTCCAAAACAGATGGAAGAGGGTACCTTGCACGTCATATTTTAATGTGTATGTCCATTGACAAATTGATGGTATTTGACAAGTTGGAATGAGAACATGATGGCTGGAGTAGTGGGCACTGCCGAGGAGCCCTTGGTAAGGCGCTGAACCCCTAAACTTCTCCAAGGGTGCTGTGTGGTTGACCCTGGACAACCCCTCTAAAATATGCATGTGTGTGGTGTGTAGATACGAGAGGTATGCAAAGAGTAACATTTCAATCGCATTTTGTAACATTACCATGTGAAAAATTGCCTTTGTGGATTAATAAATAAAGCATCTTTCTTTATTTTTTATTCCCTTTCATCCTCTTATCTCAATCATTTAAAAGGGATAGTAGTTGTATAAGATACTTATCCACAGAGAGTATATTAAATACTGTCTATATCAGTCAGCACACCCCAGTTTGGAGAAGCAGGCTGGAGTGTGACATGGAAGCGAAGCAATCTGCTGCTGTGAGGGGTCAGCTACAAAACATGTTTTAGCCACCTTAAAAACATCTCGGCCAGAAGAATTTCAGTTAAAGTGTGCTATATTATGAATATTTTCACTGCTTAACTTTAATGTCAGACAGTGATTTCTGATGGGAAAATGAAGCCATTGCATTGCCATTCAAAGCCAGACTCCATTGAGAAAAACAGTGATTTAACATTGCTGAATCCAGGGGCTAATGATCTACCACTGCTTTGAAAGTTATTGCATAACTTTGGTGTTTAAAAGAGTTATTTTGGACACACCAAAGTCTCACAATAACACAAACTGACTAATCAACTGAAGCAGAACTAGACCAGCACCTCCTGTGTTTAGCAAGCTAAAATGACTGTTTTTGTTAATGGAGTCTGGTGGCTTTGATGAGAGCATAGATGGGGAACTGAAGCCGTTGATGGCTTCCCTGTCAAAAAGAGCTGTCTGATGGAAGGGTAAAGTGGTGAAAATACACTCAGTATAGCATGCACTTAAACTCATACTGATTTTTTTTAGGTGGCTTAAATAAGTTTTGTTGCTGACCCCCATCCATAACAGTGCGTTCTTCAGCTTTCATGTCAGGCTTGAGCCTGCTTCTCCAAACTGGGGGCGTGTCCACCAGAGCATGTGAGTGGAGCGGAGCTGAGCGGGGAGCGGACGGATTTTGTGTTGAGCGAGGAGCGGCTATTTTTTTTAAAAGGTGGAGCGGAGCCTTATCTCTCGCTCCAATTTCGCTCCGGTCGCTCATGCCCCATCCAGAATGCATCTTTGCACCTGCGCACACCCACACTATTTTCTTTCTATGGAGTTTACTGTGTACTTCAGAAAAGAAACTGAGAAGAGAAGCAGCGGTACCTTGGAGAACGGTCCCTAACTGCGGGGAGAGGCAAGAGGGCTTCCCCGGAGAATCTACCAAGCTCATGTTTTATTGGTGAATAGTTAGATTACCGGTTAGGGTAGTACAACGCAGTTTTTTTGAGCGGAGTGGTGAGCGGGATAAAATTATGATGGAGTGGGGCGGAGCAGAATGTGCAGAACCAAGCAGAGCAGACGAGCAGCACAAAGTGACAGGTCTGCGAGCGAGGAGCGGAAATTTTCACCCGCTCCACTCACATGCTCTGGTGTCCACGGACAAGTGCTGCAAGTAATACACTGACTATGTATGCACTGACTATGTATATACTGACTTTGTATTACTATGTAATACACTGACTAAGTACACCACACAACCCCACCTCAAAAAATATGAACTATCCCTTTAATCTAATATCAGTATTTTTTTGTTTTCAGCATTCTAAA